TTATATAGAAAATAAATCCTAGCATTCTCTAAAAAATAGGGCAAGGTAATGAAATCAATGCATTGGTATGAAGACATTTATGGTGCTTTTTTACTACTGTAGACATTCATTTTTATCAGCATTAACTCTAGTTTTTTCCACAAGAAGCCACATGTAATGAAAGTCTGTGACTAGAGATTAAAAAAGGGGGATTTTTACTTCATAAAATTCATTGTACTGCAGTTTCAAAAGCATTCACACCAATTTAGAAACCTGTGGTATCAGCAGATGATGCCATTAGCTTTCAGTATGAATAATTATAAAGAGCCTATGGTGCAGAAACCATAGCAATAGAGACTTGACAAAAAGAGCAGTGAGCACACGAGCAGAAGGCAAACAAGTGGCAGGCCTAACATTTCTCTCAGATTTGTTCTATAAAACAAGCCAAGTGAGGTTGGGGAAGAAGGTTACTTTAAAAAGAAGAAACATGGTAAGTAAACAGTAGGATTTTTTTAAGTTATGTTGATTTTTGTTTGTTGTTTTAGCAAAGTCTGCCAGAAATTAGAGGCAAGACAAGCAATGTTTTAGAAGTAATTTTAGTCTTTGCTCCTCAGACCCCATTATTTTTCCTCCAAAGGTGATGAAAAATAAAATCTATTTGTCATTTGCACTTTATCACTACAAGACTCTTAATGAGGACCTCATAACCCATGACCAGAACCAGAAGCACATTCTCCTCAACAAACAGAAAGGCAGAACATAAAAAAGTCTTTGAAACACAGACTGGAGAGGGTGGAAATTGAACCGAAACAAGTAACTGAATCTGTATCATAGTTAATAGAACAATTAGAAGTGCTAAAGCTTTCTAAACTAAAATTGGATCAGAGCAAGGCATGGCACTTCTTTAGAGAAAAGTAGGAAATCTAGACTATCTGCTGTCTCTACACACTGGTGACTTGAGACCTGTGTAAATTCAGGCATTAAGTCCCCAAACTGAATTTAGCCAACACCACAAAGACAATAGTTGTACAGTCATCTGCTTGAAGCATTTCTTACTGTGAGCCTACTAATGCAGCAGTTAACCAGTGTACAAACAGCATTACAAACAGAAGACTTGTCAGGGAGAGCCCTTTACCCACTGAAAGACAAGGATATCCAGTGACCTAAGTTTTATATATAAACAAGAAACTTGGAATAACTTGGAAACATGACAACATTAACATATGTTAGAAGAACTGAGTAGACCAGAAGCTCCACCCAGGATGTTAATTTAGAAAGGATTTTGCATGACCTCCTGTATTTCTACTGCAAGTTGTGTAGCCTTCAGAACTTCTCTACACCTGAAAATTTCAGATCCTAAAAATCTCCTCTGACACTAGTAGCACCGTACAGTAACTAATTTCATATACATATAAAAAAAATGTTCTTAAGTTTTCCAATTGCTGAATTATTTCTACTAGTCCATCCGAAAGTTTCTTCATTAGTAACAAGGTCAAGGTGTCTTTCTTCTATTTTACTATGAAAAACACATCGCTATTTTAAGTTAGTAACAGATCCCACTGTGAATAATTTATCTTTCCATTCTATCATCATCTTCTGCCAGGAGGTTTTTTATTTTAATAAAGCTGTGGGGAGGGGGAACAGATATTAAATAATGAACAGGAATTCACCTGATTTGTGTACAAAGGAAACTCAAAGACATATTGCTGCCCAAAGTCAATTAAAACATAATTCACAATGCAGGAGAAATATAGTTTAGCTTACTGTCTGTCAGAAAAGTAACAGAACAGATTAATACTTAAATAAGACTGTGCTATCAAAGTATTTAAAGCAGCTTATAGCCCTGTGAAAGTATTTTTCTTCTCAATTTTATGAAGTGCTGAAACACACAAAGCCATATCTAACATGGGCTGGAAAACTAGGTTCTGAGAGAATAATAACCAAAGCAAATAAATGTTAGTATTTCTAAGAGTAGTAGAATTTCCAGAGACAATTACACTACTGGGTGTTTGATGCCTGCTAGAACTCAGCTCACCAGTCACTGCTGGTGAGAAAATGCTATAGGTGGTTCTCAGCTCCAAGATCCAGCACAGCTGGACTGAACAAATTATTTAGTTATCAGGACTACAGAAGCTTAAATTTACTAAATAAGCAGCAAGTCAATTAACATGCACTTTAGATTTTTGATGTTCTGAGGAACACCAAGATAGTACTTTGGGCTTCTCATTACTCTCCATCTCAAAGAAATTCACCATAACCTCCACATGCTACAGCAAGCTTGGAAAGGAGAATTAAGAGCAAGATGTTTCCTCAAGAAATAAAAATTAGGTCAGCTAACCTCCCTCTTTAAAAAATAAACTCTTCACATTTGAGGGTGGTTATGCTATGAAAACACTTTTTGACACAGATTTGCCAAGCCCTCCTTTCTACTCTTGTCTAAAGACATCTTACTTCAGTGATAAAAAAAAATCCCCCATAGAAGCGAACCAACTGATTTCTGCTCACACCGCTGAGGTAGTGCAGTTATGAGTCACACAACTGAACAAAACCCAACAGGAGGGGATATGTTGGGCTTAACCCCATTAGTAACACCAGAACACAGCATGATTTTCATACCCCCAAATGAACCTACACACACAAGTAAACTCACTCTAAAAGCTATTGGAAAACAAACTTCCAGAAAAGCCATAGCCAAGAATCACTTTTTCATACAGAACTTAAATCTTTTCTGCATACACACAAAGTAAGCACACCTTTGCTTAACCAATACTTCACATGCCTTAAATTCTGATCCATGTAATTTCAGAGGTATTAATCAACAAAACGAAGAGGTCAATGACAGATGGATGAGTATTGCTTTATGGGGAGACCTCACATCACATAACGCTATATTAAAAAGTCAGCTTCACAGTTTTGTTTGCTGGTGGGTTTTTTATAAGATTAAAAAACCCAAAACAACAGACAGAAAATAGATGCTTTGTGTAACACAAACTATTTGTTTGTTGGCTCATTTGATTTTTTTAAGTATTCCAGTTTTAATAAAACCATAGCACATCCAGACATCTGTGGGGAACATCCTTCCCAAGTAGTCACTAGTTGTTGGTATGTTTTCCCAGGACTCAGAGAAAGTAAGAGACCTAATTTGGGGGGTTTTTCTATTGTACCAAAATTTTTTGTTCTCATACAATCCAGGTAAAGCATCCTTACTACTAAACTAAAGATTCTGATGAAACAACATGGTACAGGAGAGTGAACTTCAGCCTCCCACACTGAAGGCAGGTGTGCTGGAATGGTTGCAGAATCTTCTGAGAGGTCAGGGATGGTGCTTCACTGGCAAAAAAAAAAAGTGAAAACACAGTTTCAAAAGTTTCTGGGGCCAAAATGTCTCCCCTAGTTTTACTCAGGCAATGAAGATCCAGGTGAATGCAATCCACAGGTCAAATTGTCAAGACCTCTTAAATCTAAAATCAAGGATTTTCTCAACCAATCCAAACATTTCTTTCCTCTTTTGTCTTTTTGCAGAAAAGGAATCAGTCCCAGGATCAAGAAGCTTTTACATTTTTAATCACTCTGCTGAGCCTCTTTCCACTGCTGCCACAAAACACACCTCCAGCACAGCACTCAAAAGACCTTGCTAGAAACAAAGTAAAATTTAACACACTCAATAACAACTTCCCCTCACGCAAGTGTCCTAAATCGTAAACTGTTTCCCAGAATTTTCTTTTGAACTTCATGCCCATATCTCTCAGCACTGGGTTTTGTCAAGAGGGTTCTAAGTTACTTGTATCACTTCCTCATACTTGAAGCATCCATGAAACCCCTGATCTGCACTTCATTTTTTGCCAGTACTGCAATTCCTCTCTACCGAGACTTCCATCCAAACAATTTAGAGCATTACATTTGTTAATACAAAAATATTCAAAAAGTAAACATTTATCAGAACCAAAGAAGATAACATCAAAATCCATTAAACAGACACTGCACAACTATTTAGTGACCATGAAAACTTGCAAGCAGCACTGAATATTTCAAGCAAAATACCTGAAATGCAAATAGCATTTAAAAAACAGTATGCCTTTTGCAGCAACTTTCCTTGTTCCCGAGCTTTATACCATTACATGCACTTACTTCCTGGTTTGTCAGAAACCACAGATTTAAAGTCAAAGGTGCACACTAAAAGGAAGGAGGAGGAACAATGAGTATTTTTAGAGATGTTTTGAGACCTCGGATAATAGCACAGTATCTCTGTAAACCTCAAGGCAGTTTTCCTCCCAATGTTTTGTCTCCTTCAGCAAGGAAAAACTAACAACTAGCCTAATTGTTTTCATTGCAGGCCAGGAAGTGCAACAGCAGTTATTATGTTTACAGGTTCGACAGGAAAAGTTGCATCCTCAATTTCAGCGAGATCTGTTATGAAGTACTAAACACATACATACTGTATTAAAAAAATTGCAGCTGATTACCTAATTCATTAATAAAAAAGGACACTGCAGCCACTGTTCTACTCTTCCCAGCAGGCACAGTCAAGCATTTGAACGAACTTCCACCCTCACCCTCTGCAGACAGAACATGAAAGTTCTGCCCACTCCACAGCCAACAGAGACATAAACACCTTCATGAAAAAAAGTTGGTTTGGCTTAAAACAACAACGTTTGTGTTTTGATGACAGTTTAAGTTACTAAATCAACATTTAACTTTCTTGTTGAGTACACCTGTTGAATGTTTAAACATAACAATACTTCTCGATTCTAAATAAAGCAACAATTTCTCTGAGGCAAACTCAGGAGGATGCTGTCTAGAGATGTTTCCACTCTAAACAGAGAGGGTCATGTGCTTTCTTTTCAGCTTTTGTGATCCGTAAGCAAAAACAACCTACATCAAAACTAGTACGGTGAAAGTGTAAACATGTAAAAAAATACTGGCAGAAAAATAACATCAAAAAAGCATGGGATTCTTCTGCAAGCATATGCTGGGTCGTCTGGGGTTCTTTCCTTTCACACTCAAAAAGGCGATCAACTTACCAGATTGAACACAGTGTCGACTATGTCTCTGTTGGACACTTCACCAACTTCCACCAGGCCTGTCAGCACAGCAAACTTCATCCTGATGCCTCGGATGGGGACTCCGGGATTCAAAGGCTGCAGCACAGTTCCCCCTTCAGCAGCATTTCCTTCTTTTACCGCTGCTCCTCCTCCATCATCACCTGTTGGCTCAACGACTTGTTTGTCCTCACTCGCCATGGCCAGTTCACTTCAGGTTACGACTCGAAACGCCGGCGGGAAGGAGGAGAGACCTGGATCTCCCGGGAAGGAAGGTAACCGGTGGGCCGCTCCTCCTCGTCAGCTGCGGCTCCTGCGGGAACCCGCGCCGGGCGGGG